TGACAGTACCTTAACCTTTTTGATTTACATCAAAAAGGTTTAGGTACTGTCAAAAATATGTACTGACAAAAATATGACATGGGGCTAGGTAAGTTTTGGCCCCAGCAATCATAAAGGGTCGCGGCGGGCCTTTATATATATATATATACATATATATATATATATATATATATATATATATATATATATATATATATATATATATATATATATATATATATATATATATATATATATATATATATATATATATGTATATATATATATATATATATATATATATATATATATATATATATATATATATATATATATATATATATATATATATATATATATATATATATATATATATATATATATATATATATATATAATATATATATATATAGAGAGAGAGAGAGAGAGAGAGAGAGAGATTATTTTTATAAATTTAGTTAAAAAATCACTTTAAATTAAAACTCATAACAATCATAACAACTAATAAAACTAACAATAATAGTTATCAAGGTTTTTTTCTTTGACTTTTTTTTTTAAATCTGATACTGGTACATTCGTTAAAGCAAAATTAAATTTTAGAGTTTCTGTTTTTGATCAAGATAATGTAAAATATGATAAGATGATAATGACAGGATAATCTAACATATGATAAGATAACAATGACATCAAAAACATGATATATGACAAGACAGCATTATATTATGAAATGAAATAATATGATATATGTCGAGGCAGTGCTGTGATAAATGAAAAGATGAGTTTGTTATTCGTGACAACTTTGTAATGAGTAATAATATATATTAGGTAATATTGCAGAACTTTATCAGTTCCATTAATTCCTTTTTAATTTAAAAGAAAATTTAACGTCTTTTTTTTTTTTTTTTGTATAGTTTTAGAATGGTAATCTTACAAAATACTACATCAAACTATATACATCTTTTTATTGATGTCTTTTAACTATCATCTTATCATTAATCATTTTTCATCATTAAATATCGTTTTTTTAATATCTTTTATTCTTTTATATTTTTTAGGTTTTATTTTTGATTACTATTGTACCTTATGACAACATAAAACTTAATTTTTATGTTGTCATAAGGTAAATAATGTCTTTTAAATTAAAGCAAATAGTTTCCAGCATTTAAAATACAAATTCATTATTATTGTTTATTAAGATTATGATGAGTGTAATAGCACAAATCCACCGTGTTTTTGGAACAATGCTGTTTGTAAAAATCTCAATGGTAGCTATATGTGTTCCTGTATAGATGGATGGTTTTTGAGTCATAATAATGCAAGCTGTGTTTGTAAGTTTTTTTTAAAGTTCAAGAATAATATATTTTTCGAGTATTTTGAAGTTAAATTTGTAAAAGTTGAAGAAAAGATGATAAATGTGTTTAAAGTATTAGTTTTTTCAACTTATTTAAAACACATACAAAGCTCTTATTCCATTACGTGACACATAAAATGCTTAGTATGCTTCGGAGTTTTATAAGATGGCTCATTTAGAAATATATATTTCTAGAATAGTATGAATATACTATTCTACTTTCTGTGAAAAAACTTTAGCTGGAAAGGTTGGAATGTTAATTTTTTTTGAAGAACTCTGACATATCTGATTTTAACGGCTGCAGGATTATTATTGTAATGGGTTGACATTTGATAAAGACAAAAAATTGAAAACATATTGATAGCTAAATTAGTTTTTTTTCTCATCTCATGAGTATGGAAGTTCCATGAAATAATGCAGTTAATGTGACTATACCAAAATGTTTTTAACCTTCAATGGATACATTTTTTGTTATCAATTTTGATTTTAATTTCCACATTGTTATAAAAAAAATATTTTCTCAATTTTAAGACTTTTGAACCAGTAAACTATTTTTTTTAAATCCAAGTTTAATTTTTTTAAATAAAGAATGATAAAATTTGTTGGTTGCAAGAGATTTCTAGTGTCAGCAAACAAATAAATTGACAAAAAGTAAAATAAAAATTAAAAATCAAAAACAAAAGAGGACCAATAACAAAATTTTGATGAACACCACTAAAAACGAATTTTATAATAAAATAAAAGCCATTGTTGCATACAAGTTGTTTGTGATTTAAAGCTATGATTATCAGTTGATTATAACATTCTGAATTCCATAATTATCTAATTTAGAAATGAAGATATTATGGTAAACGATATCAAAAACTGATTTTGATTGCAATAGTTATTTTTTATCTAAACTCCTTTTCAGCCGTCTTTAAAACATTCCTAATACAAGTTTACAAAGATGTTTTCCAAAATTCTTTTTGAAACTTTCAAAACAGATATATTATTATTATTATTTTTTTTTGGTTGTCAAGAAAATTTAAAAACTGTTAACTGTAAGTCAGAAAAACATAAATATGAGAACAAATTTCAAAGTTTAAAAGAAACCATGATGGACAAAAAATTTTTGAGCATAAAAGATTATTGATATATTTTTCTTCAAAATGACCCATAAATAAATTAGCAAGAACAGGAACTAGCGGGGAGCCCATAGCAACACCATCTATTTAGTCGAAAGTCTGATTTTTAAATTGAAAATGAGATTGCGATGTTGCAAAAATGAAAAATTTCTTTAAATCGGTTTCAGTCATTTTTAAGCAGTTAATTCAATTTTATAGCTTAAAATTGAATTAACAACAATATTAATCGATTCTCTAGAGTTACATTAGTTTATAACCTTGTGACGTCGTAAGATACTTAATATTTTCCATGAATGTTAGCTTGATTCACATCTTATACGAATTTGAATGAATCTTTTGTACAAAACTCTTAAGGTACTACAGCACCATGCTAACAATAATTATTTTAATAATTATAATAATGACTGTTTCTCGATATAGATTTCTGTATCCTATAAATTTGAGCTTAAGATTAAGCAATGTTTGTTCATTGAATGGAAAAATCCAGATATAAACAAACAATTAAACCATCATAAAATATAACTTTTCACATAAAAGCTTTATTATTTGTTAATCTTTTGTTAAACAATTTAATAATTTTTTTATTGTATATTTCTTTGCTCACGCCTTTTTTATCGCAAATAAAAAAAAATGTAATTTATTTAAAAATTGTAATTTATTTTATTACCTTTCAATATTTGTAAATAAAATTAAATAAGTTTTTTTAACCCCACTAAAGATAACTATAAAATAGTCGAAACATGTATTGTAACTTTATTTGTTTAAAAAAAAATGTTTTTTATTTATAAATAAAGTCAAAATAATACAATAGTTACAACTGAATTTGAAATTTCAAATCCAGTTACAAAAGTTCTGAATCTACTGGATAAAAGTATTGCTTCTACTGGACGAAAACTTTTATTTACTAATTATTTTGTCGAGTTTAGCAATTTTTTTATACAATTAGCTGAAAATCGAAATCTTGTCTTACCAGAACAGCTTTACCCCCTTAATACTATTAGTTACAATATTTTGGTCAAAATAGTTTATAACAGATCTTAGTGTTTGTAAACATAACAGATGTAAGTGTATAATTTCTTTTCTTATTTAATCAGTTTTTAAAACTGTTGTTGGTTTATTTTTTTTATTTTTTTAGCAGAACAAAATGTTTCTCAAAATGGTAAGTCTATAAATTTATATAAATTACGCAGAGTAGATTTACAATTTATTTTTTTAATTGAGTGAGCAATTTTAATGAAAATAAATTTCAAAGTTGTAAAATTATTTATTAAAAAAGTTCTAAAATATTTTGTTATTTACTTTTATTACCGTAATTTTTTATTTAAATTCTAACTTTATGAATTTATTATAAGTTAATAGTATTTTTTTGACAACTTATTTATTATTATTATGATAATGATTATTGTTGTTATTATTATTATTGTTATTGATAATTATAAAAAACTTTTTTTATAACTTATTCCAGCTAAAGCCCAATGTCAAATTAATCGTAAAGTAAAGTTGCATTCTTTTCTAGTAATAATTTTTTATGTTTAAAATAATTTGTTCTCATATTAATGTTTTTCTGACTCGAGCAGTTTTTTAATTTTCTTGTAAACCATTCATTTTTTGTTTTTTAACTCACTTTAATCTTTAAATAGCTAATTTTTAGCTATTTAATTATTATTACTAGCTTTATTTTCAACTTTAAAAGTATTTGGTAGTTAAAAAATGTAGATAGTTTGTTTTCACCATTGTGTTATAAGGTATTCAGCTTATTAATGTATGTGCAACTATGTGTGTATATTTATAATTTTTTGTTATACATCTTTACTTTCAACAAGGCTGCAAGCAACCAGTATAAAAATTGAAACTTAATAGAAGAGGGAAGATGAAGTTTATAAAGCCCCCGAATTACTGATCCAATTATCGCGTAAAGAGGTTAAAGCTTTAAAACTCAGTTTTATGGTTTTGAGGCAGGCTGGTAGATAGGTGTACGGAACTCTGTGGTAGCCATCAGAGAGGCTGATTCCACCAACAGCTGTAAAATATCAGAGGATCAACAGTGCAATGTTGCATATGGATGGTGTTTCCGTTAGTGCTTTTTGTGTGCATTTTTAAGACCCATTTGGAATGAGTCTGAGTGTATGCTTTGAGTCAAGTTCTTTTAAAAATTTAAAATTGACTAAAGTACCAAAATGTATAAAACACAAATAACCATCATTATCACCAAGTTCTCTAAATCTTTTATTCACTAATATTCATGGTCTTTGAAGTAATTTTTATTCTGTTGAGTTTTTTCTCTTGCAATATTTACCAGACCAACTTGATTTTTGTGAGACTATTTTGATTTTGGATGTTTCATCTTGTAATCTTAGTATTGATGGTTACCTTCGTTTAAATTGTTAGACTCGTGGCCAAAAATGTGATAAAGGTCATCTTCTTGGCCAGGACGTTTGCATTCGTAAGAACTCACTCATTTGTCGGGAAACTAGGTTTGAATTCACAAACTTTTCTTTTATGTTCATATATCATATACATGCATGTATTGTGCACCTTTCAATTAGCACCACTTTACTCTATCTTTTCGTCTTTTTTTTATTTATTAACATTTTCACTTCCAACAAAACTGCAAGCAACCACAATTACAGTTGGAAATTACTGGAAGAGAAAAAATGAGGTTTGCAGAGCAAGATAACGATTGACAGAAAATTTGAAAGATTGCAAATTTTATTCAAATCAAGAATTTGAAATGAAAGAAGCGAGTACCAAAGAACTGATGTTCAAGGAATTATGCTTGAAGTATAAGAATTTTGGGAACACTAAGGAACACCGACAGTAAAAACATGACACCTAATTGAATGACGAGTAACACTAGAATTAAATTTAGTAGATGGCTAAAGACGCGCTAGAGCAGTGCCCATTAAAGTACTTTAAGAAAAGAGTAAGAGAAGCATTATTACGACAATGTAATAATGGTAGGAGATTAGTTGCAATAGCAGGTCTAACTATGTTTAATGTACTTTTACAGCTTTTCAAGAAAAGAAAGGACATAATTGGATGATTTACCACAGATATGACAACAATATTCCGTACAAGGACAGATTTGAGATTTATAAAGATAAAGAATAGATTCCTGAGTGAGAAAGTGGCAAGCACGATAAAGAGATGGAAATTTAGCAGATGTTAATTTTGCTTTGATTATTGCTTTGCTTTGATTATTTGCTTTGAATATTGATTTAATATATGGTTTCCATGAAAGATTGGAAGTAGAAGTTAATCCAAGTAGAGGAAGGGTAGATGACTCATTGAGAATCAAATTTTGTATTACGATTGGTAAAGAAGGGTTCAATATTCTTGAAGATGTTTCAAATTACATTGTAAAAAAAGTATATGGAGAAAACCAGCATGCCAAAATATATTATACGCTATAGAAATGTCAAAAGATAAGCTTAGTCTCTCCACACCTTTGAGATTTAATCTAATGCATGAAAAAACCTATTGGTTACTACCGTTAACATATCAGCAGTAGAATGAGAAGATTGAAGTCTTTATTGAGGATCAGAAGGTAAGTAATTAAATTCAAAATAAAATATATAGTCTTTGTTAATATAAGACTCATAAACAAGACATATGAAAGAAAGAAGACTAATGGGATGGAAGTTAGACGAGTCAGATTGTTCTCCAGAATTTTCAAAATTAGGCATAACAGATGGAGCTCCTAATCAGGCTGGAAAACTTTACATCTCTGGGGACAACATTTGCAAGACTATGATAGGTATGTTGTCCGAACCATACTTTTTAAAAGAGTCTAAGCAAGAAATTACTTTGGATGCAGAAGCTGGACTGATAGGAAAAACAGGCAATGAAAAACCCTGTTTATTGTCTATATGAGGGAAAACACAAATATTGAATAAAGAGATTGTTTTGATGAGAAGATTGTAGCAAACAATTCGGCTTTGTCTTTAGGTCATGTGACAAAATCAGAGCTATACAAGAGAGGTTGAATAACAGATTTACCTTTGATATAGATGTTTTCAAAAATACTCTATAAGTCACAAGAACCTAATCTGAGAATAGCGGGCTTTGGCATTAGACAAAACCAAACAATGTTTTTTAACAATAATTAACATCTTTTTTCTGGAGAATCGTTTAGCTGATAGTTATGAAAAAAATGGTTTTCATTGGAACTGGCAGCAGCACAATACAATCGGAAACTGCAGCAGCATAAGTCTTTATCTTAAGTCTTTTATCTCAAAACTGCAGTTTTATTGATTTTATTTTTTATAAAATTGACCAAGTCTACTCCCAATATCCTTCAGCCAATACCGCTGATGTTGATGACTTTAATGTCCATCACACTGAATAACTCAGCTCTTGCGTCAGTGACTCTGCTGTCATTAAGGCCCGAAACTCTTTTCGGGCCTTAACGATCTCTAAACCAAATGGTCAAATTTAAACTGGCTTTTCGAAAATTTTGAATGATTTATCTTCTCAACTTGACTAATAACTTGTTTCTGATCCTAGTCAGTGCTCAGTTTTTTTAACATATACCCTCAAGTGTTTCTGATCATTGTTTGATATCTCTAAAACTATGATCTCATTCTTTTTCATCATCAGAATTCTACTTCATCGTACCTTTTAAATACTAACTTAAGGCTGGCGTGAGCTATTTTAATGATATTTTTTTTCTAATGGCCCGTTCATAGAAATCATTTGTTGTTCTGCTGACAAATTTACTTTGAACGTAACTTCTGGGATTCAGGATTGCATGGAATACTTTAATTTCTCTCAACAATTCCAAGTCAAGCATTTTTTTTTCCATAATTCTCCTCTCATTGTGCTGCTGCAATCAAAACAATTACTGCTTCCAATCAAAACAATTACTTTCTTATCTATTAACCAAACAATACTCCAGTAAACAGACGTCTGTTTAATGTTGCTACAAACCATTGTAAAAAAGGTTTTGTCTAACGTCATAGCCCACTCAGGTTGCAAAATTGCGTACTTTATATCAATAATTAGGCTCTCATGATTTCTGGAGAATCTTTAACAATATCTATAATAAGGGCGAATTGTTATTCCACCTTTCTTGTATGGTTCAGATTTTGTCATCTCAACTAACAAAAAAGCTGAATTGTTTTGAAAGAGCTTTTCACCAATATTGTCATTTAATTTCACTTGTTGCGTTCAACCTGATATAGCTGAAAAACAGGTTGATTCATTACTTGACACTCGTATCACTCCAGTTTTTGTATTAAAAGTAATTTCCTGCTTAGACTCATCTACAATTTGTAGTTCAGACAACATACATGTCATTGTCTTGTAAAAGTGTTCTCCGGAGCAGTCTTCCATACTTTCAAAACTGTTTAACAAGCGCTCATCTGAGTCTAGTTTTCCATCTTTCTGGAAAGTGATATATGATATCCCTATTTTCAAAAATTCTAGAGAGCAATCTGATTCGTAAAACTACCGTTTCATTAATATTTTTACAATCAGAGCCTAGGTGTTTGAGTCTTTAATTAACAAACACCTATAATCTCATTTTGAATCTAAAAATTTACTTTCTGATTCTCAATATAGATTTCGATCTACTGCTGATATATTAAAGGTAATAACCAATACGTTTTATTTTGCATTAGATTGATGCAGAGATCTTAAGGCTATTGCTTTTTACATTTTTAAACCTTTTGATAAATTTTAGCATCTAGGTTTTATTAATTTTTTTATTTAAAAATTTTTTCTTAACGTGTATCAGGCAACATCTTTAATATTGAGTAATTCTTTCTTATCGATTGTAGTATAAAAGTTGTCTTCAATAAACAGCACTCTTTTTCAATTCCAATAAATTCAGGGGTTCCTCAAGGTTTTATCTTTAGTCCTAAAATTTTTTTAATTTACAGTAACGATCTTTCAGAAATTCTTCCATCTAGGTATCATTGTTTGCTAATGATACTTCCATTTATTCTTGTCTTGATATGCCTTTATAATAATTTGTTGGTGAAAAGTTGACAATTTTTTTATGTTTTTGTTTACATCGTTACATAGTTTTATTTAATTATTTTTGTATGACAACAGTACTGATTGCTATTTTAATACAGTTTAACATTTAAAAGGTAATACTTAGCCATAGTTTGGATGCTAATGTCGTTTTATGATGCAATAAGTTATTATTAGCAT